ACATGTGAAATATTTACAAGCACTGTCTATAAGCAGAGGGAATTGCTGGGGTCCATAAGAATAATCCGTCTTGCACACAGCCACAGTAATTCAGGTTCAGGAAGCCATGTTAGACCAGGTTAGTACCCTAGTCTCTTGCTCTCTACCCAGCATCTTTGCATCCACAGTACACTGTGCCTAGATTCCAGGGCAATTCCCTATCCTGATAGACTCTTTGTTTGAACAGTTCATAGCTCTGACCGCCCTTGCCTGCTCCTGACAATAGAGCACTCCCAAGTATCATCCTGGGGAAGACGATCATTTCAGCACACCATTTCAGTCACTCACTGGCTGGAGAGAATAGCCAGGTGAAAAAGAGGTCATCAATGGCTCTTCCTGGAATCTCCACATAAGGAATGTGGGGCCAAAAGTTTATCCTGCTGCACTCTGTAGGGACACGGAGCATGTTGTAGATAGACCAACAGCTCACAAGACTTGAGACCTCATGCTCTATGTCCACAGCAGCTTCCTTGGTCAGTATTAAGGATGCTGGCTGAGATACAGAACCACCCACAGTGCTACAAGACGGCAAACCTCCATCATGAAGGCTTCTCACAGCCTTAACTTGGACAATTGTCCTTTATACTACTATTTCCATGTACGGCAAACCTCCATCATGAAGGCTTCTCACAGCCTTAACTTGGACGATTGTCCTTTATACTACTACTTACATGTACGGCAAACCTCCATCATGAAGGCTTCTCACAGCCTTAACTTGGACGATTGTCCTTTATACTACTATTTACATGGTTCTCCTCAAAATATTTCAAGTACTGTACAGAGCTGTGTTACACAAATGGATTAGTTACTAGTTTAATAGCTTAAAATGTGACTACTCCATGTAGAGGGATCAATAAAACTTAAAATATCCACTGGGTTTAGAAAACTCAGCATAGAAAATAGAAACATGAACTATAACTTTGTATTATATTGAGCATCTTTTAAAAATATATTATTTTGCATATACTGAGTTACATAAAAATAAATTAATTTAGTCTGTTTCTTTAAACTATTTAAAAACCTAGCTACTGAACATTTTTAAATGACATAAAAAATAAAAAAAATTTAAAAATTACATGTGGCAACTCTTATATGTTACTCATTTAATTTTGACTGAACACTGCTACATTGCGGATTAAATGAGCTGACCTTTCTTATAAAGCCATATGTATGTGTATTTATAATTATATAATATATACATAATATGTACATATACATAATCATTGAATAAAAAATTTTATAGTCTGGGAATTTTTCTTTACTGTCAACCATAATGAATTTGGTTGCACGGTGTCTCACTCTACAAGAAGAACTGTTAATATTGATAACAGTATCATAAAGAAAAAATGGAGGCTAACTATTAGGAGTTTATGAATAACCCCCAAACTAAAGAGTATTTTATGATGGGTCATCTACGAAAGAATTATGTATTTGTTATAAATACGGTTCAGAAAGTCTAAGGGCACAAATTGGTATCTATTTGACTAAATCCTGGGAAAGGTTTGGATACATCCAGTAAATGTTGCTGAAGTATGCTCAGAAATAAACGGAACACAATTGTAGGAATCAGCTTATGTTTGGATGAGTGTTCTTAGTACATCATAAGGACAGAGTCGCTATCAGCACTGCATTCTTGACCAATAGCATCAACTCTCAAACCCGTTAGTAGCATTCAAGGAAATATTCTGAAAATTGATGGGATATGTATTAAACAGTGGTCCTTCACAGGTACTCAACATGTGTTAAATCTTCACTATGGAGAATAACATGACTTAGTCTGTCAGAAATTCAAGCTATGTTGACTCATCCTTATTTAAGGTAATTCTTTCTGTGTGTGAGATTGATTTAATGATCCTGTTTAACAATTGATTGGACTGCTGATGTCATAAAGCATGCTCAGTTTTCTCATGTTATTATGATCATTTCTAGACTCCTCTGTTTTGTCTGTGATTTGTCCTTTTACAGCTCTAAAAACAATGGAAAGTAGTTAGTAGACCAAAAGGAATGCTCTTTGATTATTTTATCAAGAGTCTATGTAGACTAGAGTGAACCAAGTCAAGAAGTCTTTTTTTGCCACAAGTACAGTGCCTAGAAATGTGCAAATATTACAGAAATCTAATACCCAAATTTTCATTACTAGTATAGTTTTATTTGTTGCTGTTGTTTAAGCAGGAACTATTTCTAGATGCTTCTGGAAGGACTCAGTTTTTCTCAATGACATGTAAAGGGTAGAATACCAAGCAGGAATTCCCAGACAGTTTATGTTTTTTAAACCTGAAGGAGCATGGCAACCTGAATTTAATATCTTACTCTTCCAAATAGGAAGATGAGGAATATATTATCTGACGTTGTGGTCAGAATGCACAATACCATATGAAAAGAAGCAGAAAATGGACAGTCTGGTGTTCAAATTCCTTTTGTGTGCTTATGATACTTGGAACATTTCTCAAGATTAAACAAACAAACAGAAAAACCACTAACCGATTCCTTTTAAGTCAGTTTGCCATTTTCTGTACTCTGAATGGCTGACTGGTTCAACAGTCATGTCACAGAATCTCAACTAAGACTTCTATTTGGGACCAGGAATTGTAGCTGAGTTTTGTCAAAGAAGGGCCACAGTATCAAAGGCACCCCATCTCAGGTTCAGGGAGCCTGCATTAGGAGCGGGACCCACAGTGCTGGGAACAAAGTGCTGAGAGGAGGTAAGTTTCACAGAGCTGGCCAATCATCCGCCCTCAAGACCTCCCATTAACAAAAATGTAGGGTGATGGGAAAGAAGACTGGAGCTTCAGGTGTACTGCCAGGTGCTGGGTCTCTCTCCTAATTGTTCTCTAAGAAAACATTTCTATGCCCAAGGCCAGTAGAGTTTTGTCCTAAACAAAAGATTGGAGGCATCAAAACCATCTTCCTTCTTTAAGGATGTAGGATGGTCTTCTTTGGGAATCGTGGGTAATCTAATGCTGAACGTCATTGGGTCCCATACAAAGGCACAGTAGAGAGGTGCCTGAACCCGAGAGAGGACACACCAGTGAAGATGTCTGTGGGGCTTAGGTGCGACCCAGTAGATTTACAGGGCTTCACATGGGTCAAGCTTGTAACACAGAACGTGGCTCACTGGCATCCGTGTGCTTAGAAGGAATCTTGGCAGAAAGACTGCAGGGTAGGAATGGGGCTGGACAGTGAAAGAGTGACCCTGAGCCACATCCTCCATGGTAGGGAAGTAAACAGTAGGAAAAAACACACAGGGTCCCTTGGATCAAATCCACAGGGCAGCTAGACTTTCTGTATTGGCCATACTGAGGACTCTGACAGGTGTCAGAACCACAAAAAAGGCTACACCCTCACCCTGCAAACGCAGAGCAGTCTCTGTCCCTACCCCTCTATGTCACAGCCTGAGCAATAAAAAGGGCACAGACATGTGAAACTCTTTGTAATGGCTGGAGTTACAGAGATGTGATTGTCATGGAAAAGGGTGGGAAGATGGGGCAAAAATACAATAAAATAAAATCAGAGACTCAAATTTTAAATAAATAAAATGGATTGCCAATAAATTGATAAAAAAATTAAAAGTTCACACATTTAAGCCAAGATATTATTAAGTCAAAAACAAGTGGGAAATTGAAAATGAGCAACTTGGGGGACAGGGAGTTAGAGTAGAAAATTAAACCAACTCATTACTTGAACCTCAATAAATAAGCAGAATTCTTTAATAAAACACTGTATTGGTTATATCACGGGTTAAAATTTTCTAGAGTTCTGGGGTTTTACAAAGGCAGTCTAGGTGTGATGAGGGCATGCCCTGCAGCCTGGTTTTTCAGGAGGCTATGGTTGGTGGCCGGATGGTGACTGTGGATCAGAGGCAAGACAGAACAAGTGCAGAGTAGCACCAGGGTCAGCAAAGGCCTCGGCTGTGGATCTTCCTCGGCTGGGAAGAACTTGCTGGGCCCTTTGCGAACTAGAGTACAAAGAGCCTGTGTGGTCTGTGGACCCACCAACACCAGTGCTGGAAGAGCCATCATAGGAGCACGTACAGGCAGAAAACCAACAGTGGAGATGCCTTAGTCTCTGGAAGACTTTCCTCCCTGCTCTGAGAAGAAGCCCGATGCTCTGGTGGGGAATAAGGGAAAAGAATGCCCCAGCCTGCCTCCCTTCTCCTCTGTACCAGCAGATGCTCTGTGAACTGTCATTCTGCTCAGCCAACTTGCACTTCAAGTTGCACTTGCGTGTGCTTTTGAAAGATCCCCTTGGTACAAGGGCAAGCGGCCACTTTCAATGAGAAGAATTAAATAGCACCTCGTCCCTCGCGCCTCGTGCAGTGGAAGAAGGCTGGCAGGTTCCTGAAAGATCTCTAAATGAGCTCTCAGTCACCTACTTTACTCCTGAGTGTAGAGGCCTTGGGGATTCTGCTGTGGGGCTGTTTGTTCAGATTCTACCATGGCCAACTCTGGCCTTGTCTGAGCAGAAAACACTGGTATCTTGCACAGGTTACAGAGGCAGTTCTCCAGCTGTGTTACGCAACCTTCAGTGGGTGCTCGATGCTGCACTAAACAGACATGGTAGCCTGCTGCTTGATTCCCATCCTAGGAAGCAGGAAGACGCATCCTGTCCTAAATAGCTCTCTGCCACTCTGCTGTGATGCTGCAGCTCACACCGGCAATTTCCCTAGCCCCCCACGAGTCCAGGAGTGCTGGCTGACAGTTGCAATTCTGCAGGACAGTGTCTAGGCTCACCTCTCCCCATCTAAACTACATAAAAAACTCCTTTGAGAATGGATTATTTTCAAGAGACAAGAGGTGAATTCTGCTCAACTCAGCAACAAAACACGGTTGACTCCTCAAATAGTCACACCCTGGTAACTTAATTGCTTTTGGCAGCTCTTAGGCAGACAGGAAGTCAGAGAAAATCCAAAGCATTAATTTACAAATGATATGTGTACCTTTGGAGTTATAAGAAGCACCTACCCCAACTTCTGGCGGGGGATCCTTGCGCTCCGGAAGGACACTGGTTCGAATCTATGGAGAAAAACAAACATTTCCTATGTGACTTCTGAATAGAAACTTGGGCAGAAGTTTCACACAGTCCTGGGCCTCTGTTCTCTTCTTCTAATGTCAATTCAAACTTGTGAGTTAATCATCAATGAAAACACCTGCCCTCAATGTCCACTGCAGGGCAATAAAGCTGTCTTTTTACAGTCCTAAAGCTTCCTGGCTTTTGGAGAAGACATAGCTCCTTGACCCTCACCCATCTCGTCCTTGTTAGAAGCAGACATCCAGGACTTAAGTGAATCACCTTTTATCTCCTCCAAAACCAACTTTCATTCACTGTCCCAAAGGAATGATAGAATGAGAGAGAGAAAGTAATTCCATGCATGCTGGACAACTGTTCTCTGAAAGAGAGAGCCAATGCCCAAGCTCCTTCTAGGAGATTCCTTCCCTGTGAAAACACTGGGCCATAGAATAGGGCGTTCACTTCTGAATTAATTCAAAAACTAAGTCTCACACAGTGGTAAAAGGATCAAACACCAATCACCAGGAGAAGCATGCCACATGAATATTCCCAGTGAACATGAACACTTCGGTAATTAGACATGCACATTTTACTGAGGGGTGGTTATCTACCCTTGTTTTTAACTAGAGCTGTGGGGATATTTTCAAACTATTTGTGTTCATCCTTGCTCCTGGATTTTCTGAGTCTGGTATGTAGCTGCTGAGCCTAGTTCTCCTAAGAACAATAAAAAGTTTCAAGTGGGAGAGAGAGATTACCTTTCTCCCATAAGAGAAAAGGAAGCAAGAACAAAGAAGGCAGGCATGACAGCCTTTGAAATAAAATGGGATGATCCAGTTGAATGGATGCAGGGCAATACGAAACTGTGACCTGTTTAACTGGAGAGCAAGAGTCATCAGGCATGGGAATGGATGAACAGACAAGAAGTAGGCCATGGAAAATGTTTCTTGAGGTCATTCTAACAAAACCCTTTAGAAGCACAGCCTGTGAGTCCCTGAGGTTCTGATACCCCTGTGTATTAACAGGCCAATGGTCCCAAGAAGAAGGGGTGGCTACAATATCCCTGGTATGTCAAAGGCTTCATCCAGCTTTTATGGCCTGTGGCTCTCTAACACAGTCTCCATGTCAGAATAAATTCATGTGCTACGGCAGAACATGCCTTAAGGCTCTTCATTTCTTATGACAGATCCAGTTCAATCACTTGCACAATTTCTCAGTCATTATACTGCCAAGGTGTTTACCAGTGAGCAAAAGCAATACCAGGAAGAATGCCTAGAGTGTGAACAACACAATGTACGGCAGGTGCTCAGCTCAGAATGCATGAGAGAAGGCTGCCTTGCTGAGTGTTTGGTAGCTTGGTAGCTGCTCGAATGTTCTTTGGCCAAGTTCGCTATTAAGTCTCATTATCTGAGAAGCGTCAGCTATCCTCGGAACGACGAGGAAAATATATAAATATTGAGCTGTTACGGATCATGGAGAGCGTGCACGTGCGCGCGCGCACGCACACACACACACACACACACACACACACACACACACACACACCATAAGTAATTGTCCATAAGTACAGCCTTGTTCCTTGTTCCTTTCTTCAAAGTTAGCAGACTATGAAGACTACATATCATAGGTATGTACATATATATGCAACCCATGCACATATACACACATGCTATTTGCAGTCTTTTTCAAACTATTGACTACCAACATCATTTTCAAAAGGGAAATACTTGTATGGAGAAATACAATGAAAAGTGACAGAAGATGGTGAGGCTCAACATGCACAGGACTGTAGCTAGAGTTTTCCTGCCTGGCCCACAGTCAGGACAAACTCTCTCACCCGCCAGTCCCACAGCAGCTCAGACTCGACCAAGTAAACACAGAGACTTATATTGGTTACAAACTGTATGGCCATGGCAGGCTTCTTGCTAACTGTTTTTACAGCTTAAATTAATCCATTTCTATTAATCTATACCTTGCCACGTGGCTTGTGGCTTACCGGTACTTTACATCTTCCTTGTCCTGATGGCGGCTGGCAGTGTCTCCCTCACCCAGCTTCCTGTTCTCTCAATTCTCCTCTCTGTTAGTCCCCGCCTATACTTCCTGCCTGGCCACTGACCAATCAGTGATTTATTCATTGACCAATCAGCAACACACTTGACATACAGACCATCCCACAGCACTTCCCCTTTTCTTTTCTTAAAAAGGAAGGTTTTAACCTTTACACATCTCCAAAGTCAGCTTGGTATATTTGGGAATTTGGGCGTAGCTTCTCTTACTACTTCCTGCTGGAGGGGGGTGCTGTATCTTATGGGGACACAAAGAATATTTTAGGGTTATGGAGTAGTCCATGAGGGTGTATCATCTGAGCCAGTTGCCTTGAAACGGTTCTGGATGTTGGATCATCTGGGCCATGGTGTCATCAGAGACCTTCAGGTGGTCTTGGCTGGTCAAACCTGATGTGTCTTAATCTGGAACAAATCCATAGCCTCTGGCTTTCTGTGGAAACAAAAGCAGAGCCTCCTTTCCAAAGCAACATATCCTTACATCCAAATTTTGAAGTCAAAGTACCTTTAAAATATACATTTTGGCATAACTCAACAGCCTTTGTAATCAAATGTTTTTCTTCAGTTACGAATATCAAAGAGAACATAATCCAGATTCTCTGTGTGGTAGCCATCTTTACGTGGCTTATTTTTTTATATTAGCTTGAGCCTATTGCTTTAAACTGTAGCCTTCTAAGCCTGAAACGGTGCTGGCGCTGCTGGCTCCGCCCACTTCAGCTTCCCAACATGGCAGTGATACGTTTTCCGCCAGCTCTGGGAGCCATCAACTCTCAGAAATAGTGGGTCTATGCTTCTATCAAAGCAGCATGTAGCCCAGAAACCTCTTTTTTTGTTGTTTTGTACTAGCAAAGGCTAAATCCACCACACAGCTTAATGTGCCACTTGCAGAGGCCTCATTCCCACCATACTGCAGGTCAAGCATGCACGCACGCTAGGAACCCGCCAGTAGCTCAAACCTGCAGGCTGCCTCTAACTTGAAAGAGACAACTAGGAACTGTTTTTAGCTCCATTTTAGAATCTTTTTTCTCAGGTTTTAGGTGGAAACTCTTGCCAACACGTTGGGCGCCATTTGTAGCTAGAGTTTTCCTGCCTGGCCCACAGTCAGGACAAATCTCTAATACAGGACTGATAAAATAGTTGATTTAGGGATATTATGTGCATACAGAGAGACAAAGTTAGAATAATATTAACAATTCCAACACGGCCCATTAAACTCTGATATTCATGTGATTTTTATGATTCCTCATAAATATGAATAAGCTATAGAAGAAAGAAGATTCTTTATCTCAAGTCATATGCATAAAAAATTAAAGGTATCACGGACTGGTTTGCTCTATTCTCTGTATGTGTGTGTTTTTGTGTATGTAGGGGAGGGAGAGGAGAAGACACAGAAAATGAACTTAATATTTATTTTGAATAGTAGGAGGTTAAGTGCAGGTTTGCACAGTGTTAAAATGTTGGAGTTGATACTGTTGATGTCCTGGTACATCCTTCCTTACATGCCATGTGTCCTATTGTGCATCTCCACTGCTGCATGGAGAACAGTGGTTCGCCAGTGAATAGAGCCTGTCCTTCTCTCTGGGGTTTCACTGTCTAGTGACTGTGACAAATACAAAAGTCCGCATACAATAGAGCAAGTACTACAATAGAAATGTCCGCATTGGCCATCAGTGTTTAGACAGAAGACTAAAGATTCAGCCTGTGGCTATCAGGGGAGGCTGCACAGCAGAGGTTCTCGGGGTCTTGAGAAATGGGTAGGAGTTCTCAGCGAGGAAAAGCACAACGGAATATGAAGGGTGTAAGGTGGTAGGTATGCACCATATAGCTACTGAAGCCCAAATGCCTTTGCAAAGTCTTTCTTCCTGAGGATGCTTCAGGGAGCCTGCAAGGAAGAGACTTGATTTAAATAAGTTTGGAGAAGTAGATTGGGCCCCCAAATGGATAAGGCCATGATGTTATATAACTGGAACCTTTTTATTTATATACTTCTCCCGGGCAACAGAAAGCTGGAGAAGGGCCGGGCAGTGGTGGCGCACACCTTTAATCCCAGCACTCGGGAGGCAGAGCCAGGCGGATCTTTGTGAGTTCAAGGCCAGCCTGGTCTATAGAGCGAGATCCAGGAAAGGCGCAAAGCTACACAGAGAAACCCTGTCTCGAAAAACAAAAACAAAAACAAAAACAAAAGCTGGAGAAGGCTTTGGGGGCAAGCATTTGAATCATCCCAAGTCCTTCTGAGAGCTCTGAGCCTCTGCCCTTCTGCCTTTGTGTTGGCTTGTGAGATTAGTGTAGGTCACTGTACTGTATCCTTTTCAATCCTTGGAGCTGTCCTGGGCTAGAGAGAGGAGGTAAGGAGTGAGAGGAAAACTAAGGGAGCGGAATAAACGAGGCAGGAAAGGGGTAAGGTGAGAGAAAAAACAGGCAGAAGACAGAGGGGAGAGAACAGAGTAACTGGAATGTGGGAGAGGGCGGGAGTGTGTGACTCACGACACAGTTCTGAACAAAACTGGATGTGGCCTCTAGGCTTCCAGCGGAAGAAGATATGGAGCCACGGCTGTTAGTGAAGTATTTGGAATGTTCTGGTTCCTCACCATGTCATGCCTCCTGAGAATTAATGGCTTTCTTTGGGAATTCATTTTTCCCTTTTTCAGTCTTATTTACATTTTTTTCCTCCTGAGTGTCTTCAATGTGCTTCTCCCAGAATTTTCCCAGAACAATAATAACAAAAAATGTTTACCCAGCTATACAATCCAAGCCCTCATGGCTTTGGTCTAGAGTTTTATGACAGCAAATGAATCAAGGTGGACCAGGTGATGTGTGTGACCCGATGCATGCTCACACTCTGAGTGTCATTGTCTTATCCCCTAAGTTCATGTAAAGCAAAATGCTTTCCTGTCTTTTCTTACCCTCTGTCAACCCCAGAAGTTCAAGGTTCACATATGTTAACT